TAGCAGCCAGGAAGCATCAATTCCTTAGAAATAAAAGTTCTAGCCATTCTGCCCTATGCTATCAAGAAGGGGGTGGGGACAGCAATCTATACTCTAACAAGCTCTAGGGAGAGATTTGTTGTTCCCTGCTGTGAGAACTCTGCAGAAGGTCCCCTGAACTTCTGCACTCTGGTCCTCTGCATTTTATCTGTGTTTTTAACCAGGAGGATGAACATGCAGTCCATTTAGTTTGTTGTTAAAACAATTCCAGGATCCAATAATGAGGTATTTCCAGGCGTCATAGCAACACTAACAGTTTGCTGCCTGCCAGGCAACAGCTGCTCAGAGTCCCTCTCTGCTAGGGCAGAACACATACCTAGACCTGTTTCCCAAGCCCTCTCCCCATGAACTTTCTATTTTCTGGTCCTGGTACCAAACCATCTTCAATTTGGCTGTTTGGCCATCTGTGACATCTTTCTGAATATTACCACCAACCTCCCTATGCCTCATGCATTCTCCTTTCAGCCCAAGAGGGGATCCCCAAAAAAACACATCCAAATTAAAGGTGACACTATCAATTCAAAAGCTTTCATAGACTCCCACCCAAAATGAAGTTAAACTTCCACATTATTGAGCTGTGGCTGTGGCTAGCTGGCAAAAGCCTGGCATATACCAAGCACCTCATAAACCGGGCATGGTGATGCACGCCTATTACCCTAGCACATAGGAAGTGGAGACACAGGAGGGTCAGAAATACAAAAAGAGTTTGAGACCAACCTAGACCCTTTCTCAAAGTAAAGAAAATCCATGATATAATATAATTTTCTCCTTGATTGCCCATACACCATAATCAATTCCCAGTATCCTCCTCTCCCCTAGGCTTGTCACTTAACTCCTGGGACCAGACCTTCTAACTGAGCAAAGCATGAGTCTGTATTATCACTGAAACATAAATAAGTTCTATCACACATATGAACTTTTGTGCATGTTACTTCTCTTAGGAACCCCTGCTGAACATATACACACAAGTGAACATATGCACAAACCTTCCTCACCTAAAGTGGCCTATCCTCAGTCCTTTGACAGGGGATCATTCCTCAGGCTATGCAGACCCTGGCTCTCCTCTCCCTGGCGTCCTGACTGTCCATTCTCACACACACACACAGGCACACACTCTCCCATCTCCTATCAGGGGTTAAAGCTGGTTCAACTTTAGCTCAGTTCAGGTGGTGTGGAGGGCAGGAATACTGCTCAAATCCTAAAGACCCTAAAACAAAAAGAAGGCAGGCAAGAAAGACGGAGTTTGAAATATACTGAGGAACAGTCCAGGATCTGATCTCTGGGGTAGAGTAGAAGGCTAGTCATTAAAGAAGGAAATTTTGTAAGGTCCTGGTGACATATTTATTGTATCTTGTCAAGGGATGAAGTTTCTCATTTACTGAAACACATTAAACCCAGTGTGGTGGCACACACCTAGAATCCCAGTGCTCAGGAAGCAAATACAGGAGGATCTCAAGTTCAGGGGCAGCCTGAGAGACAGACATACTGAGACGCCCCATCTCAGAAACAAAACGAAACTTACCAAGTGAGGCACAATGAAGCACACCTGTAATTTCAGCATGAGGTAAACTGAGGCAGAAGGATGATGAGTTCAAAGCTATTCAGACTATATCACTAGATAGCTACACAGCAATATGACTAAGTAGGTAAAGATATTGCCAAGTCTGACAACCTGAATTGGATCCCCAAAAACCCACATGGTGGGAGGAAAGAGCCAACTTCTAGAAAAATGAACATTCTGTGACACAGGTGCCCCATACAAACTAAAAATAAACCAAAATGTTTTTAAAAGAAGAGAGAGAGAGAGAGAGAGAGAACAAAGGAAGGGGCAAGGGGAGGGGAAGGAAGGGAAGGGAAGGCTCGGGTAGAAAAGATGGCATCTGACTTCCTATATACACTTCTTGTAGCTAAGACAAGAAGAGAGGATCAGATATTCATAACTGAGTCTAAAGGTTAACTTCAGAACCAGTAACAGAAAAATCACCCCTTGACTGTCCTGAACCACCCAAGGAGTGTACAAATCTCCATCCAAACCCAGAACCAATCATTGACAACAGCCAAAGAATGGTCCACCCCTTCAGAGACCCCTCCCTTCCCTTTTATAATAAAAAGGCCCCGACCTAGAAATGGTTCCCCAGAGACACATGCTTGCTTGCGCAGCTCTGCACTTACACTCACCTTTTCACTTCCTATAAGACACACTTTTCACTACTACTGTCCTGTGTCTTCCAGTTTTTGCTCAGGATACACACATGCATGTGCACACATACACACACACACACACACACACACACACGCAAACACACACAAAAAAACTCTGGAAATTCAAGGGTGGAAAGGGTTCAGCATTTGCTGCTCTTGAGAGGACCCAAGCTCAGTGCACCCACATTAAGTAGCTCACAACTGCCTGTCACTTGAGGGCACCCACACACCTGTGGTGCATATACAGAGAAGTAGTCACACACATGTACACAAAAATAAACTTAAAAATAAAAATAAAAACCTGGACATGGCGTCATAGGAGACCATGTAACAAGAGATATAACCACTCCTCCATCCAGAGGTAGGATCTCTGTCACTTCCTCTTGCACCTGGACAGGTCTGTATGACAGCCTCAACTAAACATGGCAATGCAACACTATGGGACCAGGGACTAGATGTTAAGTGAACTGGATTCCATGTGGAATTCACAGAGACCAGCTCCATGCAGTGAGGAAGTCCAGGTCACATGCAGATGTCATTCCAGTAAGGGCCAGCCTCCACCCTCAGACAGCACATTGAAGAAGTCAGAGTTAACTGAAGGTCCAGACACCATCAGACTATGTCTAAGCCCAGTCATCCCAGACCCTGAAACATCGTGAGTTGCTGTAATTTCATGAGACAAAATCCAGTATTACTTTATCTGCATCCCCTTAGGTATCAAAAAGAAAGCTCCCTACCACCACCATATTACATTAAATAATTTCTTCATTATTCCTAGTATTAAATGCAAAGTAACTGCTATGTAAATATCTACATACACCATAAGTACACAAGACATGGCATCAAGATTCTGACCTTGGCACAGGCCAGCCCTGGATATGCCACGTCGGCAGAGTAGAGCTGAAGGCAAACTAAACAGCAGCAAGTACAGAAGCTCTCTGCTTCCTCTGATGTGGGAAGGTCATCTGTCTATCTGTTGCTTTCATTGGTTAATTAATAAAGAAACTGCTTGGCCTGATAGGTCAGAACATAGGTGGGTGGAGTAGACAGAACAGAATGCTGGGAACAGAAGGGAAGTGAGGTCAGATGCCATGGAGCCAGCCAACAGGTCAGACATGCTGAATCTTTCCTGGTGAGCCACCACCTCGTGGTGCTACACACATTATTAGAAATGGGTTAATCAAGATGTGAGAATTAACCAATAAGAGGCTGGAACTAATGGGCCAGGCAGTGTTTAAATGAATACAGTTTGTATATTGTTATCCCAGGGCTAAGCTAGCCATGCGGGCGGCTGGGCACCAGGAACGCAGCCCACCGCTCCTTTTACATTCCTCAAGCTGTCTTTTAAAAGTAGGACACGGCCGGGTGGTGGTGGTACACGCCTTTAGTCCCAGCTTGGGAGGCAGAGGCAGGCGGATCTTTGGGAGTTCGAGGCCAGCCTGGTCTACAAGAGCTAGTTCCGGGATGGGCACCAAAGCTACAGAGAAACCCTGTCTCGAAAAACCAAAATAAAATAAAATAAAAGCAGGACACACACCTTCCCCCTCTTCACTTGCACACAGGGAACAGAACAGTATTAATGCTGGCACCAAGACAGGCCACACAACCTGCAACTAAAGCAATCCTCACCTCATTACAAACTCACACATCAACCCCTCATATCTGTCACTTCTACAATTCCTCTGTCCTGCTGTTTCTCCACAAATATGTTAAAATAAATTTGTTAAGATGACATGTAAGTTTTCAGGCTCTCAGGGCTTTTCACTCTCTGTCTGTGAGTCCTAACCCCTCTGTATATATAACCAATATTTTTCCTGTTAACCTTGTGTCCATTTGGTCTGCCAGCTCCAGGCACCCACAACTTTAATCATAACTATTATGCATACTGCTATGTTTCTATCGTGCACCAGAGGCTTTGCAAATGTCCATTAAAGGCACAAGAGGACACAGGACCAGGGTCAAGTCAACTCCAAAAAGAAATTTCTTCCACATAAATTAAGTATAAATTAGGTGTAATAGCACAACTTCTCTGAGCCCCAATTTTTTTAGTCCATTAGAGCTGGGGATATGACTCCATGTTGAAACACTTGCGTTCCAAAATACAAAAGGCAAACAAACAAACAAAGAAAAAAAAATCTCCCATTCAAGTCTGAGAACTTTGAACCAGTGCCACTTCAGATTTAATGTGCATACACATCTAAACAACCCGGGGATGCTGTCAAAGTATGGCAGGTTCAGCCCCAGGAGGGGTCCAGGATTCTGTGTATGGAGCACAGCCCCTGTTGAAATCACTGCCAGCCAGCCACAGTACCTGTGGTATGAATGAAATCAAAAGCTAAAGATACTGAATTGCACACTTAAAACAGCTATGGTCAATCTCAGATTGCAGACAACATTTTGAAAGGAACCAAGTGATGACATCACGCCAGGAGTTCAGCAGCTCTCAGAGCACACTGGTACTTCAACTTCCTTCCTGGTTTTAGAAGTGGACAGAATGGAAGCGTCATTCAGTGTCCTTGGAACTGACAGAGGCAGCAGAGGGCCTGGTGGGTACCACAGCAGAGACACAAGATCTAAGCCAATGGGGATCCACAGCCCCAGCCGCTACCAACTACTGCCCTGTGAGACCATGGCCCTCATCAGTCAAGACTTCCTATTTTTCTAGAAAAATAGTTGAGTTCAGAATCGGAGCCAGTCAGTCTTAACTGGCACAGACTATTTCTCTCCCACCTGTACATACATGTCTGAGTCACACTTACCAGGTCATGGACAGTTTCAGAGAACAGGGGTGAGCTGTCTGAGAAGCAGGATAGCACAAGCTGGACAAGCACAAGGGTGAAGTACACATAGAACGTGGTGTCTCGAAACACGTCCACCTGGGCATCCTGAGCAGGAGAGAAAGCAGGGGACACGATCACCATATCTTCCCTGGAAACAGGGTACAGATGCCTCACCAAATCCTCACAGTCACAGGAAACGGTGCTCAGTGATGGCAGTCCATGATGCTATGAGTACTTGTAATAGGTGGAAGAGTCACAAGTTAGCATCTTCACGATGTCCTGAGCTGCCACAGGGCCTTACAGGGAATCCACTAGAGAAGGCTTTCTCCAGATGCACTCCCAAGACCTCAGACCTCCCAGCCTTCAGAACCACAAGTTCAATAAAGGTACTGACTATATGATTTGATTACAACAACAGTAAAAAGGATTCAGATAAGGCCAAAGAGCAGGCTGCAGATACCCACCTCCCCTGCCACAGGCATCCCCACATTTCCCTTCCCTTGAGAAAAGAAAGGTGGCTCAGTCACACTGTGACCTGATGGATCCCACAATGGGGAATGAGGAGGTGTGGGCCTGTTCCTTTGGACTATGAGATCTTATCGATTCACTTAACCTTTCTGAGCCCTGGCTTCTCTACTGCTGAGCACACCAGTGGCCCTCAACCAAGGGTAGTTTTGCCTCCTAAGCAACAAATCACAGTTTCTGGGGACATTTTGTTTTCATTAACCTTTAGCACCCAGGGTATGGAGGCCAGGCCCCTAGACACACATAAAGCACAGGCCAGTGCCCCACAACGAAGTCTCTGTCCACTTGTCAGTTAGTGCTGAGGTAGAGACATCTCATTAGAGGAGAAACATGTCATCCCTGAAAAAGCACTTAGGAAAACATAAAGTCAGCTGATGGCAGCTGATGTCACTAACACGGAGGCTGTGCTCTATCCACAGTGTTCCACACCTGCTCTGTCCTCTTCTGTGCCCGTGCCACTCTCTAGTTCACAGATAACTAGAAACAGCAGACAGCCAAGAAGTACACACTCTTCAAAAGTTTTGAGAAGTGGCACACAGCAGCCAGACCCAACAACTTCTTGCCAGAGTTGCAGCTGGTAGCGCCAAGGTAACATGGGAACATGTCTGGGGCCCTTGAGGAATAGCCAATGGGCAAATACAGCTCCCAGCTCAGCTCAGTTCCAGCCCAGCCAGCCTACAGAAGCACTGCAGAGACCTAGAGCAACACATCATTTGCCTGCACAGAGGAAAGAAGGCTCTAGAACAAGGTCTGTACCTGACTGGTGAGAATTTTATTCCTTGAAAAGAAGCAGGGCGCATGTGGTGCCCATCCTGTGGTTCCCATAGCAACATATGACCATAAGAGATGAAATAAGCATCTCTCCCACAGGTTATCATTTACCTTGTTTAAGGCAGAGATGATCCTAGATCTGAAGATGGCAATGGCACACAGTAAGGCTACAAGCCAGAAGATAAGCATAATCCCCGAGGACTGGACTCCCTTCCTTCGCTCAAGCTGGATTAAAAAGGTGGCAAGCAGCTGCAAGAGAGAGGTACATAGTAGTTTAGAAAAAGCAAGATGTCAGGGCCCCACAGTGGCACGTGGGAAACCATCCATGATCAGGGGCCCGTTAAGAAGCTTCTCTTTTGTTGATAGAACCCATACCCTTGCTCAAACTAGGCAAATACTCTACCACTCAGCCACATCACAATCCAAATCCTCTCATTTCTCACTTCCAGCCCCACCAGCCAACAACTCACCATGGTGATGCCTAGCAGTGTAGGGCTGACAAGTAACACTGGGGCTAGGAACACTCCCTGACTTCTTTCCCAGAAAGAATAGAAGAGGTCTGCCCAGCAGACGATCCACAGCAAGAACCCTAAAGCCTGGAAGAAAAGTAAACATCATGGAAGGTTACAACAATTCTGGGATCTCCTTACTATCCGCAAAAAAAGTTCACTCCCAGGACCCCAGGCAGCCTCCAAGGTCCACAGTTAAAGCATCTAGTTTCTTACTCTGTCAGGGTCTCACTATGTAGCCCAGGCTGGTCTTGAACTCCTGATCTTCCTGCCTCCATTTCTGGAGTGCTCCACCATGCCCAGCTGTCTTAGTGATTCTCACACAATGGAATCTGACATCTGAGAGCTGCTAGAGAGCCCCTCAGGGGCTGGAGATGGTTCCATCCCTGCCTGTCACGGATGACACTTTAATAAAAGAGCAGCCCACTTTGAGGAAAGAAATACTGAGGAGTGATGGATAAGACAGGTATCGTAATCTAAAATCCTAGCATGGGAAGAGCAGGGGCAAAGGCAGGGAGATCTCAAGTTACAGGCCAGCCTGAGTTACAGAGTAGGACCCTGCCTCAAAAAGAAGAGAAAGGGAGGAAGAGAGGGAGGGAGGGAGGGAAGGAGGGAGGGAGGGAGGGAGGGCGAGCTCAAATGAACTAAGGAGCTCAAGGACATGGTATATGCCACCTCTTCACAAATGACCAAGAAAAACTCCGTAGGAATGTGTGCACACGGAGAAAAAGACTGCGGAGGAAAGATTGACGACACTGGAAAGCCTGCGCAATGTGGAGCACAGCAGAAAGGCTGCTGCAGGCTTGGCATTGTCCTGGGAATTTCCTGGAGTCTGAAATTATTTCAAAATGAAAACTTTTTCTGCTTTTTCCTACACGTGAGCATCATGTGTGTGCATGTGTATGGGGACAGACACGTGTGCAGGTGCACACTAAGGCAGAGGCTCCTGCCAGGAGTCTTTTGATTGCACACTAAGGCAAAGGTTCCTACCAGGAGTCTTTTGATTGCCTTTCACTTTATTCCTAAGGCAGAGTCTCTTGTTTAAACCCGGAGATCCCTTTTCAGCTAGTCTGACTACCAGCTTGACCAAGGGATTCCTGTCTGCACCTCAACTTTCACATGGGTTCTAGGGATCCAGTGAGGCATCCCTTCAGACCTGAAATCACACTCAAAATAAAAATAAACAAATACAAGGAAACTGTTTAGAAAGCTTCTATTAGTGCCAGTGCACACATAGGGAACCAGAGACCACGAAGGTTAAATGTTCACTCAAAAGTCCCGTTTTGAACCTATATTTAGCTCCAAATTTCCAGTCTTGATCTATCACATTCTTCTGCCTTCTTCACTCAAAGCTGGACTACACACATCTACCCATGTGCCCCACCCCACAGCAACACCAAGTGACTTACAGTTTTTGCTTTGTTGAGGTGCGTCATCTGAATGTAGCCCCGGTCATGTCGGGAGAGATAGAAGAAATAGAGGGGGAAACAGGACCAGAGGTAGAAACAAGGCACCCATGTGAGGACGGTGTTCTGAAAGCACTTGGTAAAGTCAGGGCTGCTGGTGTGCCATGTGACATTCCAATCCTGGGGACACAAGCACATGCAAACATCAACTGTCACACCACAAGAGAACAGGGCTCACAGAGTTCAAATCTACTTGCTGTAGGTGCAAAGAAATAGACCATGATTCCCACACCCAGGGACCTCTCAGACATCAGAACTATGCAGACATCAGAACATCCGTGGCCAGAGAACCAGGCAGCAAGTTAACAGGAGCAAAGGGCCCTAAGCAGAGAGCCACAACAAACTCTCCTCACAAGATTAAGGGAGGATGTCACTTAAAGGGACCTTGAAGAACAGACGATCATGTGATCCCTGAAGAATCTGGGAGGGAGTCATAGAGGTTATTTGCATATTTTCCTCAAGAATAAAGACTCCAGAGCTTTATCTTCATCATCACATAATGCCCAGGTGTTCATAGAAAATGCTGGGGCTGTCAGGAGAGGAGATGGCTCAGCGGGGAAAGTACTTGCTGAGAAAGCATGAGAACTTGAGTTCAATCCCCAAGACCCACAAAGGCAGAGGCAGGTGGATCTCTGTGAGCTTGAGGAAAGCCTGCTATATAGATAGTGACTTCCAGGCCAGCTGGGGATATATAAAAAGAATAACAAGTTTTAAAGCTCAGTGTGGCAGTGTATACCTGTAATTCCAATGCTGAGAGGATGGAGACAGGCAGATCCCTGGGGCTTCCCAGCAAGCCAGTCCAGTGGACTTGGCCAGCTACAGGCCAGTGAGAGCCCCGGATTAAAAAAAAAAAAAATCAAAGTTGACAGCACATGAGAAATGACAGCTGACATAAGTATATACAACACAATCTTTAACATTTTATTACATGTGTGTGCGCAAGCACACACCACACACACCACAGCATCCAAGTAAAGGTCAGAGAGCAACTTGCAGAAGTTGGTTCTCTTTCCACTATGTAGGTCCCAGGAACCAAGTGCAGGTTGTCAGGCTTGTTGGTAAGCATCTTTACCCACTGAACCATCTCATTGAAGCCTCAGAACTTTTTTTAATTTAAATAATATAAATGAAGTGTTGACCCAGAGCTTGGAAGGTAGAAGCAAGTGGATCTCTGTGAGTTCAAGGCCAACCTGATCTACAGAGTAAGCTTCAGGACAGTCTAATATATATATATTATATATAATATATATATAATATATATATATTAGATTATATATTTATATATAATTATAGATATAAATGTCTTCTGTTGTAGGATACTGTGTCACACTGTGAACACTGAATTTGCATTGCGTTAGTTAATTAAATAAAATCAACTTTGGGTCAGGAGGCCAAGTTAGCAACTAGTTGACAGGCAACTAGTTGACAGAAAGTTATCAGAAAGAGTCCTAGAGTGTCTGTCAGACAATAGACAGATGCACAGGAAGTAGTAGGGAGGAACACAGAGTAGCATGGCTTTTTTTTTTTTTTTGGCAGAGCAAAAGGACCAACAAAGAGAGACAGTCAGCTAGTGGCTACTCAACCTTTCTGAGCTAGTAGGTTTTCACCCCAGTCTTTGACTCCCAAGTCTTATTGATAAATAGAACAGAGGTTTGATTAAAAGCTGTATTTGGCAGCAGCAACATAGCTGGTGCCTGTGGGAACAGGATTCCTGCCAGACCAAGGCTTTAGTGGCCAGGCAGCTGCCAGAGAAGCAGGCCAGGACCTGTAGAGCCGCATTTGCTGGCTAACACAGCAGCAGATTAAAGCACGGCCTCTGTGCCGACGGAAAAACAACAGTCTCCTTTAAAACTATGAGTTCAGTCCTTTACCACTTCTTTGTTTAGATGGAAAAATGGAGGCTTGCAATAGCATGCAAAACCAGCTACTGGTCCTCTACAATCCTCTCACTACAGCAGGTTATTGCTCTATCACACATCCTTCTGCACCTACCCACCCACACCCCCATCGCCTGTCTGTATGACCACCTCTCTACCTGTGTAACCATCCATCACCCATCACCCCTTCATCCATGCACACAGAAATTCACCCATGACTCCTTTCTTTTGGTATTTCTTTGCCCTTCACAGGTAATTAATTACATGATGTCAAAAAAATTTTCTATACAAAATAATATATGGTGAAAAATTAGCCTTTCTTCCCTAACTCACAGTCTGTCAAATCACCTCGCAGGCAAGCTTTCGTGCTCAGTAACAGATTAGGTTTTCTTCTACATATCACCCAAATGCACATGATTTAATTTTTCTTAAAAGTCCATGAAGTCAACTCCATTCTTGCACCTTACTTTTAAAAAACTTGTTCTTACATTATTCATGTATTTGTGCATATGAGTTTGCTCCCCAGCCCCTAGTGGGGGAAGAAAAGAACCCACTCACACATACTGACCATCACAGTCACACAACAGCATGTGTGCTCACCCACAGAAACAAAATATAGAAAGAGGATGCAGCTCTGTGGGAGATGCTTGCCTAGAATGCACAAGGCCCTGAATTCAATTTCTGGTATGGATCCCAGCACTCAGGAGGCAGAGGCAGGCGGATCTCTGTGAGTTCGAGACCAGCCTGGTCTACAGAGCTAGTTCCAGGACAGGCTCCAAAACCACAGAGAAACCCTGTCTCGAAAAACTAAAAAAAAAAAAAAAAAAAAAAAAATCTGGTATGGGAAGGAGGGTGGAGCAGGACAGACAAGACCCTCAAAACAAGCACCACAGGGCAGCCATCACCAAAGCCCAGGGATTTACAAGCTTCCAAGCCTGGCCAATCCTACAGAGGCAGATCTTCCGCCTAAGTTTAACTTCTCTTCCTTGTGACAAGTGACATTGAGCACTTGAAAAAACAAGATAGTCTGCTGCTTGAAGGCTTAAAGGAATATTGAGACCTAATATTAATAAATGGCGCAGAGATGGGGCTGTAGCTCAGTGCTAGTGTATTCACCTAGCATTCTAGCACCATACGCACGTGCACACACACAACTAGTATCAACTGGTTAAGTAAGTCTGGTGCCCCCTCTTCTCTGCATAATAAATTTCACTGACTCCCTAACCAATGGTCAAACTAGGGAAATGGCTCAGTTGGTAACCCTTCTTGTAGAACCCAACATAATCCATTTTCATAAGAGGTGCACTGAGAACTCATCCAAGAGCCACAGACAAGCAGTGGCACTCAGTGGCTGGCACCTGCTCGTCTCAAAGCTCTAAGGTCAGGGTTACAGGCAGTCTGCTACTTGACTGATCCCAGAATCAGAAGAGGGTTTTTTTTCAAGTTCCCATGATATTTATGAGATAATGCCTTGGATCCTGTGCTGGCTGTTGTATATGTCAACTCGACACACAAAGTAGATTTATCAGAAAAGAGGGAACTTGCCTCTGAGAAAATGCCTCCATAAGATCCAGCTGTAAGGCATTTTCTTAATTAGTGATTGATGGGGTGTGTGCAAGCCCTGATGATCAGCTCCCCTCCATGGCCTCTGCAATCAGTTCCTGCGTCTAGGTCCCTGCCCTGTTTGAGTTCCTGTCCTAGCTTCCTTTGATGCACAGTGATATGGAAGTATAAGCCAAATCAACCCTTTTGTCCTCAGCCTGATTTTTGGTCATGGTGTTTTGTCACAGCAGTAGAAAACCTAACAGGGCCTGAACCAACAGAATGGAGAATTGCGGAAAGGGGGCTATGCTAGAAGAGTCTAACTTTCTGGAATATCAATCTAAAGGAAAAAGAGGACAAGAATTTCTCACCATTGGACACCTAAATTTCTGATACTTACTTTATGTGTTGAGTATTTTGCCTGCACGTATGTATATGCCCTTGGAGGCCAGAATAGGGTTTAGATCCCCTGAAACTGGAGGTTTGGGTAGTTGTGAGCCACCATGTGCCTTTAACCGCCAGTCATCTCTAGTCCCACCTTCCATTACATTCCAAAAACCACTGCCTTGCCCTGAATTGGATGCCAGACATTTTTGCCTTTCTCAAGTCCAGTGTCCTTTTCTGCTTTGCCTAGTAATCATAAAGTTGCTACTACAGAGTGAAGGCCTTGTTTTTCACTCTTATAAACATGAAGACCGGATTTCAAGTGATCCCAAACACCAACAGGAGGTAAGGTGCAAGCTGGAATATAGTATAGCCTATAATCCCAAGAAAGCCAAGGTGGGAGACTTGGACAAACAAATCCCTAGAGCGAGATGGCCTATCTTATTTGACAAATCTTATTTGATCCATCTTACTTGGCAAATTGCCAGACCAATGAGTGTTGGGATAATTTTTGTGTACGCTGTTGGAAGATGTGTCTCTGTTTATCACCTGCCTAAGGCACCCTTTGATTAGTTTAATAAAGAGTTGAATGGTCTACAGCTAGGCAGGAGAGGATAAGTGGGACTTACAGACAGAGATAGGAACTCTGGGAAAGAATCTGAGATAGGAATTAGCCAGCCACACATGGAGGAAGTTGGATGTACAGTAATGAGGAGGGTAACAAGCCACAAGGCAGAATGTACATTAATATAAATGAGTTAATTGGGAACAAGCCTAAACTAAAAGCTTTCATACATAAGAAGAAGTTTCTGTGTTGTTCATTATTCAGAAGCTGGTGATCCAAATACAGACCTGCTACAGCTGGCATCCAATGTGAGGCACGTGTATCCAAGCAAAGGGCCTGAGAAAGCTGACAGACACAGAGCCAGATGCAGCTTCCTAGCAACTGCAGTCCCTCTGGTAGACCCAGTGCTCATGGCTCTTTTAAGAGGCTCTGCTGCGCAGCTGAGAACTTGAGAGGGGCCTGTAAACAGCTAGAACGGCAGGAGATTAGACAGAAACACCTGCCACAGGTAGGCCCAGGAGTTTACCAGAACTGGCACAGGAAAAGGCAAGCAGCGCTTACAGCCCAGAACCAGTGGAGTAGCTTGCTGGACCAACGCAAGGAGACCATGGCCAGCAGCCAGCGCCATGGTGCTAAGCGGAGCTGAAACATGGGAGAAGCATGCAGATACACAGAGGTGGCCTGACCCTTTAAAGCTTGGCTCATGCAGTCAAAAAACGGCAGGCACAAAGAAAGTCAGATCCAGACTGAGA